CGGTGCCCATTACTCTCTGTGCGGAAGCCAGCAACCTTTTCTGGTTGTGGCATCGCCGGCCCGGGGCTGTACTGGTCGGCAAAAAAGTCGGAGACGTTGTAGCTTTGTGATGCATCAGAGCAGAGACACTTGTATTGTTGGCGAACCCTGTTTTTCTTGATGGTTATTAATACCATTGGGAGAAGACCCTCNTTTCAATTGAATTCTAGAGGTATTATTATGCTTACTTTTTGAATTATTAATTAATTAAAATTTTGATATAAATTATAAAAACACGCTAATTTCAATTTTTCTAAAATCAATGAGAAACAAATTGTGACAAATCTAATTTTCAAATGGACTCTCAATTGGAAATATAATTTATCATTTATATCTCTATATGTGTATGACTTGATTGTAATTGACAGTTGACTTCAATATGATCATTTGGTAAAAAGTAATATAATTTGGTAATGACATTTTTCGTTTGCATTTAGAATTTTTTTTTTGACGTTTTGCTTTTTAGAAATCCTTTTTATGGTCGGTTTGAATTTTAATGGAGTTTAGGTTTGTGATCTACACAATTTTATTAACATACATAACATTAGAGTCAGATTGCGGAAGCCTAAAATCATTAATTGCTTCATATTATAGAGCCGCCTCCGCCCTTAGTTAAACTGCCCACCCTTGAGCTAATTTTCCGCTCCGCAACTGGTTCCACTGCAGATTATTTGCTTCCTATGATCACTATGAAATAAAATGTTTTCTATGAGTTCAATTGAAGATTTATGCGTAAAAGCTGTGGCCAATCTGTCAAGAAGGCCTGCAAATCAGCTGAGAGGGATTTGCAAAGCAAATACAGAACCCAGTTATTAGCTAGTGCGTTTACGATTATTATTCTATAATTTTAGCAATGAAAATAAACCCCTAATCCCATCCCTTACTTAAAATGTCATGTCAGCACTTCTTCTGCGGTGCCATAATGATCTCCAGATCATAACAGATTATCACTTTCACTGCACTGTGGAATGCAGGCCTTTCCATTTTTACAAATTAATCAAAAAGGATGCATAAAGGAACATTTGATGAACAATTTGCTGTTCAACAAAGCTGCATAGGACTTTTGGGGTAAGCATTGTTTGAAGAGAAGACTTTCCAAGCAACATCATCTTACCCATNAAAAAAAATAAAAACAAAACAAAAAAAAATAAAAAAGAAACAAGAAAGAAAAGCGAAGACATAATTGATCATTAGAGTAAAAAGCTACAGTTTTATAAACCAGTCACACAAGAGAACACTCTACGACTCCTCAAGCGAACGAGTTGGTTGGACTTGATAGTATCCTCCTGCGAAAGCCCAGCAAAATAATTCCCAATTTGGACGGATTTGTGTCGTCGGTGCCCATTACTCTCTGTGCGGAAGCCAGCAACCTTTTCTGGTTGTGGCATCGCCGGCCCGGGGCTGTACTGGTCGGCAAAAAAGTCGGAGACGTTGTAGCTTTGTGATGCATCAGAGCAGAGACACTTGTATTGTTGGCGAACCCTGTTTTTCTTGATGGTTATTAATACCATTGGGAGAAGACCCTCCATTATTTATGACTTATTGGTTGCTTCTTCCTTTCTTTCTTTCTTTCTTTCTTTGAAGGAAGCCAGCGAGTCTTATTTGAAGACTTGGCCTTGTTGGGTTGGTAGGAGATGATCATTTTTTTTCACAACTTCCTCTTGTAAGGAAGAAATTGGGAACATAGAACACGTCATTTGATTTTTGACAAGAACATATACCAAGGCAATAAACTATATGCTGCTTTCATTATAAACGTTTTATATAGACTCCACGTATCTGCCACTCAAATACTACTGCAACAGACAAAACAGTTATAGCATAGTTAACATCCTAGAAAAATGAAAAATAATTATACCATAGTTGCCTTTGGAAAAAAGAAAAACTTTTACAGCCTAGTTAAAAATGATGGGTCAAGTTCAAGAACCCAACCCACGACGTGAGCCCAGTTTAAATCAAGAATCCAACTTAAAGAAATCCAATAAAATCCAGTCCAAAAGGGTCCACGTCCATCAAGCTCATTAGGATTCGAGAAGTTACATGCTAAGAGAGTAAGTATGGTCATCTAAGAGCCTCATCCACTTCGCCTTGGAAAGAGTCAACCCCCACATAATCTTTTGACCGAATCTTATGGGGAGCTCCGTAACTATCTCATCCGTTGAGAAAAGTGCAGCTCCACCTGATTAGCCACTTAATTACTAATAAATCGCCTCAATCTGTTAGGAGGCGACTATAAATTGTAAGCCCCGCCAACATATGGGGGACAACACACTCAATCGAGCACATCTGCTACTCTCCCCTGTCTCTTATAGCTTGTATCTCCCTACTCTCACTATACACCTTGAAGTAATAAAATACTCAGGCGACCCCAGCCCTTCAAAGTGGACGTAGGTCACGTTGACCGAACCACTATAAATCCTTATCTCGTTTATCTTATTGTCTCTCTCAACTTCATTACTGCATTAATTATCGATTACTTGATAGGTGGTGTGCCAAACTAATTTGTGCATCATCAGTTTGGTGCCATCTGTGAGAACGACAAAATTTTCACCTAAACACTTCCTTTGTTGAACTTATGGCGATTACTACCAGATCGATGAATCAACCTGAAGATAATCCACTACGAGAGGAGAATGTTGCTCCTCCACCAACCAATCTCGTCCCAAATGCATAGTAGATGCTAGAGACAATGCAGCAGCTCGTGACCCATAATTAATAGATCCTCCAGCTAATGCTCGCTGGACAATAAGGAGGAGCACAACCTGGAGGAGCTCCCCATTTGGGCCCCCCTTGGGAGCCCCAGATAGGGGAGCCCACCATAAGGGAGCTTCGCCTCCTCTTCCAACTTCCTCTTCCCATGGTGGAGACTCTCATTTCCAAGAGGATTAGGGTAAGAATCAAAGTGTGGAACATGGGAGCCATTTTAATGACAATTCCAAAAAAGCCCAAAATCACAAGGACGAAAAAATCAAAGAAGTATAGAATCAACTAGCCGACGTCTTCAATGCAATGAAGGCACAAAGACCAGAAATTGTGGAGTTCCTTGTAAGGCGAACTGACACACCTTTTGTGCCAGATGTGGCAAACTACCTTCTTCTCTAGAAGTTTAAAATGTCATCCGTAGAAACCTTTGATGGCATAAAAGACCCACTTGATCATCTTGAAACTTACAAGTTGTGGATGTAGCTGCACAATGTTCATAATGAAATCATGTGTAGGGCTTTTCCGACTACCTTGAAGGGATCTGCCCGACAGTGGTTCGCCAAACTCATCCCAGCCTCCATAGGCCCCTTCGCCAAACTAAGTAGATCCTTTGTGGCACATTTCATTGGTGGATGCCACTACCAGAAGCCTACCACCTCTCTACTCAATGTAAAATAAGATCAAGACGAGAGTCTAAGGAGTTACCTCACTCGTTTTAACGAGGAGGTCCTCCAAATTGAAGAGCCCAATGACAAAGTCAACATGAACACCTTTCTGGGAGGCCTCTATTCATCGAGTTTCCTCTTTTCAGTAATGAAGCGACCACCAAAGAGTATGCCAGAACTATTGGCAAAAGGTCAAAAATATATGAATGTTGAGGATATCAACAGGTCTAGACGAGGTGAGTCTTCGCCATCATCATCACCACCTGTGCCCAACTCTAAAAAAAAAGCCACAAGGGCACAAGCATTAACAGATTTTGTGGTTGAGCTCACACCACTTGAAGAGAGAGATTGTCAAGAAGACTCAGCACCAGGTGCCAGGGGCCTAGCAATGCTCCTACCCAGGCGCTCACCTCCTTAGGTGCCAGAACTTAGGCGCCCAGCTCCTCAGGCATCAGCTTAAGCACCTAGCTCCTTAGGATCCAAGCCGTGGGTGCCCAGCTCCTTTGGCACCAAGCCCCAGACGCCTAGCACCTCATGCGCTAGCCCTTAGAAGCAAGCATCTCAGGTGACAGGCCCCAAGGCGCCTAGTTCCTAAGCTCCTTCCTCATCTCTATCTATTGGAATGAGCCTCCAACTTGGTGACCCTGTAATGGGCTAACCCTTAAATTCTGCCTCTGCTCTCATGCGGGCAGCCTCATAGGCAAGATATCTCTAACTTAGTGGCTATCTCATGGGTCGCCAAAGCTTGCCCTATCTCTATTCTACTCTCAAGCAGGCAGCCTATCTCCAGCTTAGCGACTTTCTCGCGGGTCGCCAAAAGCTTGGCCTATCTCTGCTCTGCTCTCAAGCGAGTAACCTATCTCTAGCTTAGCAGCTTTCTCACGGGTCGCCAAAATTTTGGCCTCTACTCTACTCTCAAAAAGGCAACATAAGCATTCAGCTTAGCGGCTCTCTCATGGGTCGCTAAAAGCTCGGTCTCAAAAGGTACAGCTCTTTCATGATCAACCATTAAACCTCTACTCTCATGTGGGCAGCATCACAGTCAGCCTACCTCCAATTTAGCGACTCTCTCACAGGTCACCAAAAAATCGATCTAAAAAGGTGTAGCTCTCTCATGAGTAATCCTGAAACTCTATTTTTGCTCTCACGCAAGCAACTTGCCTCTCTCTCCAAGTAATCGTGTCATATATTTTGATGTTGAAATAACATTATTTTTTCCATCTCTAGGCACACTTTTTGAAACTCAGGCCCACTACAACCCATGGGACTACATTCATCCGGCACTACTGCCTCATTACCACATCCCGCGCCTAATACCTAGCGCAAACAAGGCTTGTCTGCGCTCCCAACACTAAGGATCTGGCACCTACAATTGGGTACTAGCTTCCCTGCTCTAACATCCTGGCGCTCTTTTAGATGCCTCGTTCCTAGCACCCAGAACCATAGGCGTATCTCTAGTTGCACCCAGCACCATAGACGCCTCTCCAGCAGGGCCTAACGCCATAGGCACCTTGCCCAAGAATGTCCTAGGCGTTCTGACCTCGATAGTGCCCATGGGGCTTGCTCGTCGACGCCATCAGTGCCTCCACCATAATGCTCGCCCATGATGTTTGCCTAAGGGAGCTCTCCTATGATGCTTGCCCATGGAAGCTCGGAGTGCCTTTGATCCTCATCGCAGAACAATGCCTATGGGAGCTTGCCCATGATGCTCGCCCAAGGGAGCTCACCCATGATGCTCGCCCATGGAAGCTCGCCTGGAGTGCCTTCGATCCTCCTCACAGACCAAATGCATCCTTGATGCCTCACCTCCATGATCTTCACAGTTCAAATCGTCTCGGTTCATAGCCTCCTCCATGACCATGGGGACCCTGCCTGGCAAAAATAATTTACATATCAAGAAGGAAAGGAACCGTCAGTCAAAAAGAGTCTCTAGAAAATCCAAGTGCAAGAAGGGTTGACACTGTTTTGATTGTAACTTTTCATCTGTTTCTCCAAACGGAACCCATAATATATCAAATCGAATCTCTCGATGAGCCCTACAAGACTCACCACCTTTGGCTATGACAGAAGTTGTTAAAAGCCCAAAAAAATCCTAGAAACATATGTTTTGGTCTCACAAAGTTNATTTTGATGTTGAAATAACATTATTTTTTCCATCTCTAGGCACACTTTTTGAAACTCAGGCCCACTACAACCCATGGGACTACATTCATCCGGCACTACTGCCTCATTACCACATCCCGCGCCTAATACCTAGCGCAAACAAGGCTTGTCTGCGCTCCCAACACTAAGGATCTGGCACCTACAATTGGGTACTAGCTTCCCTGCTCTAACATCCTGGCGCTCTTTTAGATGCCTCGTTCCTAGCACCCAGAACCATAGGCGTATCTCTAGTTGCACCCAGCACCATAGACGCCTCTCCAGCAGGGCCTAACGCCATAGGCACCTTGCCCAAGAATGTCCTAGGCGTTCTGACCTCGATAGTGCCCATGGGGCTTGCTCGTCGACGCCATCAGTGCCTCCACCATAATGCTCGCCCATGATGTTTGCCTAAGGGAGCTCTCCTATGATGCTTGCCCATGGAAGCTCGGAGTGCCTTTGATCCTCATCGCAGAACAATGCCTATGGGAGCTTGCCCATGATGCTCGCCCAAGGGAGCTCACCCATGATGCTCGCCCATGGAAGCTCGCCTGGAGTGCCTTCGATCCTCCTCACAGACCAAATGCATCCTTGATGCCTCACCTCCATGATCTTCACAGTTCAAATCGTCTCGGTTCATAGCCTCCTCCATGACCATGGGGACCCTGCCTGGCAAAAATAATTTACATATCAAGAAGGAAAGGAACCGTCAGTCAAAAAGAGTCTCTAGAAAATCCAAGTGCAAGAAGGGTTGACACTGTTTTGATTGTAACTTTTCATCTGTTTCTCCAAACGGAACCCATAATATATCAAATCGAATCTCTCGATGAGCCCTACAAGACTCACCACCTTTGGCTATGACAGAAGTTGTTAAAAGCCCAAAAAAATCCTAGAAACATATGTTTTGGTCTCACAAAGTTTTTTCTAGTTGTGCATTCAGTTGAAATTCAAACTCAACCGAATGCCCTCCTCTACAAGTTCCATTGGACACAGGGCATTGGGGGGCAAATAATGAGTCAAGCCCAAGGGCCCAACCCACATTGTGAGCCCGGTTTAAATCAAGAGTCCAATTTAAAGAGATCTAGTAAAGTCCAGCCCAAAGGGGTCCATGCCCGGTCAAGTTCATTAAGGGTTCAAGGAGCCACATGTCAAAAGGGGTAAGTAGGATCATCCAAGAGCTTCATCCACGCCACCTTGAAAAGAGTCAATCCCACGTCATCCTTTGACCGAATCTTATGGGAAGCTCCGTAACTACCTCATCCGTTGAGAAGAGGGTGCCAGCTCTACCAGATTAGTCACTTAGTTACTAATAAGTTACCTCAATCTATTAGGAGGCGACTATAAATTGTAAGCCCGACCAACACTTGGGGGGAAACGCACTTAATCGAGTGCATCTGCTACTCTCCCCTGTCTCTCATAGCTGGTATCTCCCTACTCTCACTACACACCTTGAAGTAATAAAATACTTAGGCGACCCTAGCCCTTCAAAGTGCACGTAGGTCACATTGACTGAACTACTATAAATATTTTTCTCGTTTAGTTTATTGTCTCTCTCCACGCCATTAATGCATTAATTATTAGTTATTTGACAGGTGGTATGCAAAACTAATTTGTGCATCATCAAAATAATATAAAGAGCAATGTTATATGGATTTAATTTGTAGACCTAGGGGTTGCTTGATAACACCACTTAAAATTTAAAGTTGAATACTTTCACCACTTAATAAATTAAACTCGTTTGATAACCTAAAACTCATACTACTTAATATTTTAGGCACTTCTTAAAAATTCATTAAAATTTTATGTAGCAAGCCACCTACTTATTACTTAATGCTGAAAATGTTAGTCAATAAGGATTTTATCAATTTTTCATAATGGACAAATATACCCTCACCACCATTGTGTCATTGCCGCCGCCACCACCACCCCCACGATAATCACTACCGTCGCCACCACTACCATCACTACCATTGTGCCACCATCACCACCACCATCGTTGCCGCTACCACTACAATTGTGTCATCGTCATCACCATTACCACCACCATTGCTGCCACCACCATCACCACCACCACAGTCACCACCATTGTGTCATCATCAGTCACCACCACCACTACCATTGTGACACCGCTACGACCACCACCACTATTGCCACCACCACCATCACCACTATTGTGCTATCATCATTGCCACCACCACTACCACTGCCATTGCCACCACCACCATCGTCACTACTGCCACTACCATTATGTCGCCGCCACCACCACTATAGTATTGTTGCCACCACCACTATCATTATCATCATCACTGTCGTCACCACTATCATCGCCACCACCAATACTGTCGCCGCCATCACTATCACCAACGTCACTGCCACCATTACCACCACCATTGTGATGGTGATGATAGAAATAAGACAGTTGCAGAGAGATAGTTAAAGAGAAGGGTAAAATTAGAATAATAATAATTTTCAAACTTCAGCTCCTCATATTTGTCAAACAGTTTGATTAAATTTAATACTTAAATTTTAGCTGATACCAAATAGTCTATGAATTAAAAAATTTAGCATTCAATTTTCAGTGTTCAGCTTTCAATTTTATCAAACACCACCCAAATGAGGCATTGAATTAGTTGTGATTTTTAATATTAGATGGAGTCCATTGTCAATTGAATAGTTATATTGAATTAGATCTCTAGATTAATTCCTTAAATTAAGTTCAAATAGTATTTTTTTAAAATATAAATGATACTAAATGGCGGACTCGCTTTTTAATTCGACACCTTTTCCTCCTCTCACAACCATCATTTGGGAAATTTAAGTATTTTGTGAATTTGCAGGTTAATGGAAGTCATAGGGGATTAATATTATTTTTTTAAAAAACCATCATATGAGTGGTGCTTGGTTTGTAAATGAGTTAAAGAGTTATTATGTAAACAAACTGTTAAGTAATGATTGGATGAATGAAATTAAATAAATTAAAATTCTAAAAAATTAGGAAAGGATGAGAGAATGCTATTTAAGCATCCTTTTCTCTAATTTGATTTTTATATATTAATAGATAAATTAAAAATCTATTTGGACTTAATCCGCTAACTTAATTTATTGGTGTCATTGTATTGGTAGTAAACCACATCAAATATGGATAGTAAATTACATCAAATATTAGAACTTGTAGCTAATCCAAGAATAATAATTGATTAGGTCCACAAAATTGATTTAAATATCAATATAAAGTGTTGGACAAAATCTGGAAAATCAGATTTTGTGCCAAATTTGAACCAAATTTTGAGTGGGACTTGTTCGTCTTTTGAAGTTGAAATTCGTGGGTTCATGTTCTACTCCAGGAGGAAATCAATGCCATATTTTCACTTGCTCAAATTGAGTAAGAATGGGAAAATAGACTCCAAAAGTGACCCATGTGAATAAGGAAATGTATTGGAACTCAAGTGTGGGAACACCAATCCCACATTTGTTGGGCAAGGAAAACTTGGTGAGTATACATACTCCAAGTTTGAGTCTATGGTTGGGCCCAAAGGGCTAGTACAATTTTTTGGATGGGGGAGGACCTACATGGGCTTGGGTTCAACCACACGAGTGCGCGTACTGTCGCCACCACAGGGTTTAGGTGTAAGTGTGGGTGTTTTTATGGGTTCAATCTAAGATTATCTTCTTGCACAAAATTTGTTTGCCAAATTGGATCCAAAATTCTTAACCCATTTTTAATTTACTACTCATTGGTATTTTAAATTTTGCACGAAAAATTTGAATTCAAATTGTGTCCTAGTTTAAATTATAATTGGTATATGTTCATTAACAGACATAACACAATCTGGCTTGTTTCAATTCGCTCTGTCTATATAAACCCAAAATTATCTGCATTCAAGTAAATCATTTTAATTATTTTTTGTAGTTCTAGATTGCATTGAGTGTCTACATTGGAGTTATTCATAATAGAGAATACACAACACAGTTTTGTTCGTTGTGCAAATAGATTGGAGTAATACTTATTTTTGTGTGAAGATCATTGTATCCTAGAAGGTGGAAGTCGAGATTTTCCATTAGCAGTAGTTTAAAACCCAAGAAAATTTAAATTTTATTATAAAGAGCAAAATGGTAATTAATCGTTACGGTGCAGTTAAAAATTAAAATTTTGCTAAAAATCAGATGATGAAGCAGATCTCACCATTGGATTCATCTCGTGAAATCTAGATGTCCAGTTAAATTTTGTTGAATTCTGAGATAGTCGGGATTTTTGCGTTTTACAGTGTGATTGGGCATCTCTCAACTAAAATAAATGTGATCAAATTTTTTATGAAACTTGAGAAATAATTTAGTGTTAGTTCAAATAAAATATACTGAACTAAATATGAGACGATATTTAATTGATTCGGGAGAAAATTGAATCAGAAAAGGACATGACATGTGACACATTGTAAGCCATGCAATTAGAAAGTATAAAAGGGGAAAAAAAATCAGATTCTCCCCTTTTTGTTGCTAAAATTTTTGGATAGAGAGAGAGAAAGAAGAGAGAGAAAAACCAAAACTTTTCCCACCTTCTACGCGTACATACCAAAGATCGTGAGTTTTGCCAAGATCTCAAGGATAGGATTTTCAGGTTCGAGTTTTGAAATCTTGATTTGATATCATTGGGACGTCTTCTACACAAATATACACAACAAGAGATAGGATTCCTTTCCTAACTAGGTTTATTTCCAACCTAGGGTTAAAATATGAAAGGGGTAGGGTGTTAGATATGAAATCTCATGTATAACACATACCTAGAGTTGTTAGAATATGAAAATGGGTACAATAACATGTTTAAAACCAATTCTTGTATGAATTGGTCTGATGAAATTGCTTGAATTTGAATTTCATGAAGAATGTGTTGTTCGGACATGTTATGCGTTTACACTTGTGCTTTGCAGGTGTTTGATAAAATGTATATGGTTGATGTTTGATAAAATGTATATGGTTGATTAAGTGTGTTATTTGTATTGAATATGCTATAACATACTTAGAGGTTTATGAAATGTTAGTGTATGCTTCTATAACACCAAAAACCAGGGGTTCTTAATTTAACAAAATTCGGGCAGAGTCTCCTTTGTACGGGGAGCTCTACCTAAAACACAACCTGTGCAATTATACTACATTGACCACACCGGGTCCATATATGAATAAATATTGACCACACTGGGTCCATTTACCCATCAAATAATAAAATTTCATTCACCACATGTAATATCCACCATATCATCCCGAAAGAATAGGCCAATCTATGGCACTTACATTCCAAAAGAATTACACTCAAACTTAGCAGCGGAATAAACAAAATACTAGACTATATATGATTGTAAATAAATTCCTTAGTCTAGCACAAAAATAAACTATAGCTCTAGATGTCCACCTCGGGATCTAGGTTCCCCTCTGGTGAAACCTCCCAATTTCCTGGCTTGTCAACGCCGAGATCTTCCTCTAGCACGAAATCTAAAAAAAAAATATTATTGGTAGGGGGTGAGCACTACGCACTGTAGGAAAATCCTCCCAAACTCTAACAAGGTTTGAAAAATGTAGAAAACGGTCGGTCTCATTTCACAAATAGCATACATAAATTTTGAAAGAAAATATGACATTTTCAAAGAACT